TTGACCATTGAGACTTTTTAGTATATCTGTGGCTTCATAAACTCGTTTTATTGATAGGGAGTGATAATAACAGGTGAGATGAAATTCTAGGTTGTGGCAGGATTCGAACCGGTCTGTTTGAAATTTACAGCAAATACATTGACTTCCCAGTTAAGTATTTGGTAAAAAAACGTACACCAGTCCAAAAGTGCAACACAATTTCACACTAAACAGCCTGTGTAAATATATTGTTTACCATGTCTATTACAATGTTCCTCTGTTTTTGTTCTTCTAACGATTACACTACAGTGTGTTTCTGTTTCCATGTCCTCTCTATGTGTTTTTCAACCGTTTTTCACGTACTGTTTTCACCTTAAAAAAACAGTTGGGTGTGTAATAGTGATTCATGCTATCTAGTGACTGACTGACTACTTACTGGTTAAACAATACAGGTTAATCCATTGTGCACTTTGTGTGTGTGAATGATTCACTGCGTCTGGATCTATTGTTAAGACCCTTTTGTTTTTATTTAAGCTACGCTGATTGATAACAATAACACCAGTGACATATATTGTTTATTAGGTATTTGGCACTTATTCTCTTGTTTACATGTTTCCTGCTTAGCTGAAATTGAATATTTTTTTACACTACCTTGTTGTGTTGGTAATAACAATGGAAAAGTTTATACTTTGTCTTCCTATCTTTTGTGTTTTGCGTGTATACAAAACACACTGAACAAGTAATGCGTAGACGCCTTGGCATCTGAACAAACTTTAAAAATACACAAGTTGTTTATCTTCTTTTCGGGAAAAAATGGCATATAATAATCTTGTACTGATATGTAAGCAAACTTGTGTTTTTGTGTGTGTGGTTGTAGGCAGTTTTTTGGTTGTATTGTGTTCTCTGAGCTGTGCTGTTTAATCGTGAACACACTGCAGTACAACAACTTCACGGAGAAACGAAAAAAATTACTTGATGTCCACCCTAAAGAAGAACGGCTCACCCACGAGACTTTATCAGTAGATGGTTATCGCGGTACATCATCAACTACAAAGTCACCGACAGAAATTAATAAACACATCATCCTACCACATACACAAAGAATATATCGGAGATCACGACAAGATTACTAAGACCACTTGGAATTGATGTGGCCACTCATAAACCAACAAATTCCCTCCAAACACTATTATCCAGACCAAATCGAACGCAACAAGCAAAGAAGATAAACCGAATATCATTTAGAAAATCAACTTCAATAACTGTAGTCAACACTACATTGGACAAAGTGGTCGCCCTCTTCGCCTTCGTCTACATGAGCGCCGACTGGCTGTTAAACGTCACGACATTTCATCACTCATTTCAATGCATGTGGATAACAACAATGGACATGAATTCAATTTCGACGATATAGATATGTTGGACGGAGAGAAGAAACATAAAGAATGTCAGGATTCCTAGAAGCTTAGCATTCAGGTCAGTCAGCAATCAATAGATGTATAGACATAGACCCGACCTATCAACCAATAAGAAAGATGATAAACGACAGAAAGGTCAGAGGTCAAGCAGAAGAACAGCCAATAGGAAAGTCTATACAGTCAATGACACGACAGTCAGAGGAAACAACCAATCACAGACCACATCGTCAGAGCAAGCCACTAAATCACTCACGGAGAGATATTGACAGGTCATTACTTCATACTGAAGTTAGTGCTGATGATGTCACTGTCTAGAAGCGAGATGATGAAAGCTTCACGATTAAATAACCCAGCTTAGAGAATACAATACAACCAAGACCATCCACCTGAGCTACAAATATTCTCCATTATTTCAAGACAGTTTTTTTCATGGCTTTCCTATGGAGATTACTTAAATGACTAAGACTGCAGATAACCTGAATTATGATTGTATTCCAACCACTAACTTCGGGCTATTTTGTTTTAGGCCTTTCCCAGTTTTCCAGGTCAACCAGACATCACCAACTATAGACCAGCTTCCAATTAGACGCGTATGCATAAAATCCGTGAACACAACAGGCTATTCACTCCTGCCAGCGAAGAAGGCCCCGAAATCCCCGGGTATGTACTCTTACATCTTTAGCGGGGTTGGTGTCGAATGGTCAGCATGGGTTATCCCGTATCTTACACATATCGCTCGACTAATACAAATCCCCTTTCACCTGTTTGAGGAAGGTGACACTAATACATTTCAACCCTTACTTTCTGTGTGGTTGTAGCAGACAATTGACCAGCTTTAGGAGTTGATCAGGGACTGGCTCCGAAGACTCACTCCTCAGGTAGAATGGATGACAAAAGCTTCATCGATTTGAGTATTCGATAGTGACTGCTGGTGCAGTCACCAGGTTGAAATTCATGATTGACCTACAATCCATACCAGAGATATAGACAGTTACGCAGGCCAACTCGATTCTACTCAGGAGAGACATTAGACGCATAGCCCAGTGCCTTCATGATGTCTTGCATGCACTGAATACTCTTCCGTCGTATAGTGCAGCCCACTGCGAGAGCACCTCAGAGCATTCATTAACATTTGTTTACCTCCGTCGTTACCCACGTCAGATGAATTTCTTCACTTCGAAAACCTAATGCCGGATGGAAAGACGGTGGCCCGGTTCGCTCGTCAACCGGAACCACGTGAACGTCGCCGTCGTGCAACTAAACTCTTCCGTCTTGTGAACACCTCAGTCACGGAGTACGGCGTAAATGTACGCTATCGATCAAGCCTTTGGTGACTCGAAATACTTAAACCATCAGAATCACCAACAAGCTGGCTATCCTGCTGTCAGTCAGACATTTGACTACCCCCAGAGAGCCATATTTACTTTACCAACTGACGTGCAACACCCTAGTCATAACGACATCTCCACCCTGTGTGAATTAATGGGCAAACATAAGATATATTCATCGTGCTACCTGACCTAAATGGTCATTATGACCCAATCCTTGTGGAATCATATTGACCAAATAACTGATTACATTTTGTTTGGTTGTTTTCCATTAGGTGTGCTGATAAGATCTTGAGTTTTGTGGGAGTCATCATAGTTGAAGTTGGATGCTGTGATCCCATGTTAACCATCCGTCAGATACTTGAACACCTCCACACCTATTGCAGATCAGTAGTTGTATTTCTCGGTATTGGAGCTGCCTTAGATTTGTTGGACAGTGTGATGCTCTGACCACTGCCTGTTAAAAAGGGGGGGGGGTCGTTGGGAAGTTTGTCGACATCTTAAAAGCCTATATTTTAACACCCTAGGTAAAGTGAGGGCATATAAACACCTCTCTGCTTTGTTTCAAACCAGCAAGAAGGTAAGGCATGTCTGTCTGGTTTGTCATTCTTCTCTCGCCTTTTTCACCAGTGGTGTTCTTCAGATATCTATAAAAGAGGTGCTCGGTTGTGGTAGTAGACATGTTACCAGATAAAAGACTTTTCTATCTCAAGTATGCGAACGATGTCTTTTTAACGCGTGACAGCATACAGGGTATTCGAATAGTATCTTATCAGTTAGCAATCAGTGTCCATGTCCATAATTTATGCTTTGAACCGTTGAAGTGAAAATGCATTTAGAAGGTTGGTAGCAGCCCGTGTCTGAATTGTAGGGAATTATCAAAACGTTTGTTTCTACGTGAAGTTAGTATAACGGGTGAGTTTTCTAATCGTATATCGAAAGCCAGAGTGGAACATGCTAATCTGTGTTGCCTTTAACGACCTTCATGGCTTTAACCTTAGTGTAAAACTTTCAGTATACGACATGTCGTGGTGGACAGTTTGCTCGGCACCTGTGAAACTTCAACTCTCCGAACTGAGAATGTCCGTTGATTGCATGTTTCATCACCGTTATGTCCCAAGGATTCTTCATATTCGATGGGAACAGTGTGCAAGCAATTCTGAGTTGGTGGGGAGTGTGTTTGGGTGTCATTGAAGTCGTCATGAAAAAACTGGCTTCAGCTACTTAGACATGTGCTGCTACTTTAGTTGTTACGATTTTTTCATTTAGCTAACTTTTTTATTTTATAGAAGCTGATACACTTGATTAACCCATTTTCTCATTAGCTGTATTCGTATGAAATGGATTTAGACATCATGTACTTTAATCTTTGGTACACCTTTCTGATGAGCAGTAGGAAAAATAAAATTCATTGGTAGAACTTAACTTTAGTGACGGCCAATCACTTTCAAGCATGCACTGACCAATCAGAATCGAGAATATGAAGGACAACGTTATTAATAAGGGAAATGATACTTTACGTTTTATAACTGTTCTACATGAAGAATAAAGATATCTGGGGTTTTTATAGGTTCAGCTTTCGCATCACTTAAGTTTAGATCTGCCAATTCATATTTAGGTCTTTCTAGTTCTTCAAAACCGATGTTTGTGGTAGTTGGGATTTCCCCATCAGGCCCTCGAATGGAGCCCCGATGGGAAGCGACGACTTGGGCGTCCGAGGGTGACATGAAGGAGATCGTGCGAGGAGGAAATGAGAGCTTCTGGGCTGTCGTGGAGCCAGGTTCAGAGAAGAGAGTGCATTGGAGACATGCTACTGATGCCCTATGTTCCATTAGGAACCCAAGGGACAAATAATAATATAATATAATAATAATTACAACTTGTTGTGTGCTGGTATGCGTGATTTAATTCGCTCATCTACAGTTTAATCACTTCATACTAGCCTGATATTTCTGCCCATTTTTTAAAAACACCAGGTTATTTCTTATGAAACTTTATCGTAGAGCTAACCGTTTGGAAAAAAAAAACAATAATGATTTTTATATTCTCCTTTTTTTTCTGGAATAGTTACCCAATGCTTGTGAGGCTTTCTATTCACTTGTTACTATCGCTTATCTCTATTTTTTAGGCACATTTCTTCAAGTTATTCATGAGGCTGATTTTACTTAACTGATCTTAAATGGATTTATTTTTTTTTTGTAAATTGTACCTTCGTGATGTGATCAAATCAGCCTATCGATGTTCAACACCAATACTCCCTCCTCTATGAATTCCAATGAATGGAATTAAGGTGAACAATGATCAAATTGCTGATTATATCAGATCGTTGAATAGTAATAATAATAATAATAATAATAATAATAATAATAATAATAATAATAATAATAATAATAATCACAATGTTTCTTTACCATCTGTTAACTCCGATAACAATCTGTTGAATTTTGAACATATTTCTGATGACAGTTCTTATGTCAACATTAAATCATATTTAAAGCAACTACGATGTGTTATCAGTGAATTAGTTGAAACAGAATCAGGGTACTTGAAGAGTTTATGTGATATTGAAGAGGTGAGTTATCATTATTTACTAATTTTTTCTTGTATATTTTTAGTTGTTATACTTATTCTCATTTGTTGCTCCGATTATTTGTCAATTGGGTGGACTTGTGAAAGTCATAATACACTCATTAACCTTGTGCAGATTTGTGCAGGAGGCATGGCCTGGCTTGACTTGACCCGTGATATGCCCCCAGCCGGCCTTATCAGTGTATGCCCAATCTATCTCCACTTTCATCTTCTACGTATTTGTTGGGCGATAGGTTGTTGGTTGGTTCGTTGTCAGCCAGCCAGAGTTCTTCGTTGCTTATTCTTATTATTCTAGCCATCTGAGCTTCAGTATCGAGTCAGCGTAGGTGGCAGTTGTTGATGATTGTCTGTAGTTTATTGGAAGTGATTTTCGTGACACGCCAAGTTTCTGAACCACATACCAGCACTGAATTGACTGGATTGGTGTTAAAAATTCGGATCTTGTTCTTTGTTCCGAGTGCAGTTGATCTCCACACTGATTTCAGATTAATGAAAGCCTGTCTTGCTTTTCAGATCGTGGTTTTGACATCTTCGTCTGTGCCTATGCCGCCTGTAGTTGAAACGATGCTGCCTACCTACGTAGATGTACGTGAAAGAGACTACTTCCTTTTGGTTTCTCCCGTTGATGGTGATTGGTGCTTGTTGTTGATTGGTTATCTTCATCACCTCCGTCTTCTCTACATTCACTTGAAGTCCCGTCTTCCCTGGCTGCCCTGCCTCTTCTGTCAACTTGTTAGTTTTCACCTGTAGATCTTCGAGTTTGTGTGACATTAGACACAAGTCATCGTTGGCGAAATCCAAATCTTCTTCTGGGATCTTTTCATCGGTCCAGCGTACCCCTCTCTTCTCGCTGCTCACTGCTTGCTGCATGATCCAGTCGACCAAAGTCAGGAAAATCATGAGTGATAGTAGGCGTAGTAGGCATCATTGAGCTATCGACTGTGAATTACTTGACATGTGGCGTCTTCATATAGTTGTCGAATGAGGTTGATAGTGATTTGTAGTACTCCGTAGTGTTGAAGCAGCTGTTGCCAAATTACTTGTCGGTCGATACTGTTGAAGGCCTTTTTAAAGTTGATGAAGTTGAGGTAGAGAGTTGACTGCCATTCTGTACTCTGTTCTATAATGCAATTTGACAAAGGATCATTAGCTGTCAGTAAATTGTCTTGCACGCATATCTGTTGATGAAGGCCATCGGATACGAAACCCAGTTTTACGGTTTATTCCTACAAACCTAATACTGGATCAAGTTTATTGTTATCTAGAGTAATTTTTATTATTTGACTGATGGTATTCTATCTACACTGAGGATCAATCATAGCCTGATATTGGTTATTATCTATGGGTACCTCTGTTCTATTCTTCACAAGTTTTGGAGGTGACTGTAGGCATGGAAAATGAGAGTTGATAGGCTGATTGGATGAACTGAATAAAACCTAATCTTCAGGCCTTAAAGGAGACTATATTTTCTTGAAAACATTCATGGCTAGACAGATGATTTTAAAGATTTGGAAAGTTTTTCTTGACACTGCCTCGTTCAAATACTTCATCCGATAAGTTGCATAGGGTCAATGACAGATATTTGTCTGAACAATTCAAAGTCGTTTTCGTTTCCAGTCAAAAGCGAAGTGGATGCCAACTGGAGGTCTTCGTGGTTACCCATCCCATATAGCAAATCGATAAATGTAAGGGACTGTGAACCACTTGACTCCATCCTAGTGGCTAAATAGTTAACACGTCCTCCATGAGACCCGAATGTCTTGAGTTCGATCCCTGGTGGGATGGAGTCTTGCGTACGTACTGCTGAAGAGTCCCATACTGGGACCAAATATCATGTTTTTTGTGGTTCTCCGTATAAGCTTCAAACTACCTCATCGTATTACCAAATTCATCCGTATTACTTCAAATCTCTCTTCATATCTCCTGTAAATGCTGTTTTCGAAGAGATTAAATTCAGAATTTCTAATACACTAATGTGTAAACGATCTGTTCAACAGTGTATGTGATGAGGAGATAAAATTTGCTTTGGCATGTAAAAGTGGGTGTATTTCATAATACCAATCTCGGTACTGTACACCTGCGATTCGATATCTTTTTAGGCTTCTCCTTATTGCTAACCGATCAAATATAGCCTACTTTTCCACCTAACCCTAATCGATTTGAATTAGAAAGGGAAATTGATATATTCATCGTTGACTAGACTATTTGACGTAGTCTAGCCTAACAGGTTGTTCTTAAAGTAAGGATATGCTAATATACGTTGGAATGAAAATGTTAGCCAAGAAGATTTGGTTGGGCAACTACTGTGATTGTGAACTGACAGGTATATGGACCAACTCTCCACTTGAGAACTGAGTGAAACTTTTTAAGATTCAAGTGAAGTGGTCAACTGTTGGATCTGTTAGTTTTAGACAGTATGCTTGAATCTTATCGTGACCCAGGATTCCAGTGAAACTGAAACTCGCATACTCTTACCCACTTTATTATTATTGTAAGCTGTAATACAAATATAGAGGAAATACAAAATATTATCTTGCAACATTTATCTCCTGAATATCTTATATCTAATATGTAATACACTTAATTCATAATTAATGGTATTCAAGAATTTCTTGATAGTCTTTTCAGATGATTTTGTTTAAACAAGTATAACGTTTTGACGGCGTTGTGTTCACTGAGTTGGGTGGTTTATTCGTGAAGCTATCATTATCATGCTAGACAACATCATCAGCAAAAACTTTAGAAAGAAGTAAACTATAGGTTTTTCTCCGAAATTTATTTAGCAGCTGATCCTAATGACCTTGTGTGTGATTGGTTGTTTCTAGCAAACTCTTGTCATTGTCTCTTCTTAACTTTGATTGGTTGTCTTGATGATGATGATGTGAAATTTGACCTCCTTCTTGTTTCTGATTGGTTGGTAGAGCGAGTTAGTGTCAATATATGTGTTGGTCACTGACTGACCTTAATATGAAGCTTGTAAAAATTCTTTACTCTTCTTTGTATTTCCTCTATTTTTCCAAGTTTACAAAGTAGACTCTGCACAGCCTAACAGAAAACAGATGGAATAAAAATTCTTAGGTTGTTTCATTATTTTGTTAATTGTTTAAAAAAAATCTATTCATGCATTGATCATGCATTTTACTCTTCTCTACTCTCAAACTTATTTAGTAAGTCAACGAAGTAGGTGCGGCATGAACTTTTCCCTATCAGATATTACACTTGTTATGTTTTAAGTCAGCAGTAGAACGAGTAAATGGATGAGAAATCGATAAAATAAGTTATCAGATTAATAATAATAATAATGCTGAAGTGAAATGAGATTCTGGTCAGCAGTCGGACCTTGTAGCTCTAGTAACCCGGTGGTCGCTGGTTCGAATCCGGCTATGGTTCAGATTTTCATCTCACCTCCAATCATCACCTAATACAAATACTAGTTTGCCAAACGTTGGCTATCTTAGATAGTTAATTGATAATCAATATGATACTCCCCCTCTCTGATCCAGTTAGATTTGGATTGGGGTGAGAAGTTCTAACTAGGCGGCGAGTGTGAATGCGATCAAGCGGTAGTAACGCGTCATGGATTCACATGATAGTCGGGCAAAAACAATTGGTGCCTGAAGTGAAATAAAATTCTTGTCAACAGTCGGACCTCGTAACTTAGTTGGTAAAGCACCGGGCCGGTAACCCAGTGGTCTCTGGTTCGAATCCGGCCGCGGTTCAGATTTTCATTTCACCTTCAATCATCACCCAGTATAAATACTAGTCTGCCCAACTACGGTTATCTCAGATAGTCAAATGAACAGTTTTTAATGCCTTTTTTTCCTGTCATATGAAGAGAATTCTCTTAATATTCTGTATAGCTTATAAAGCACACAAATGGTCTGGCTTTGTTTTCTTCCGAGGTCAATTCAGGATATAGAAATAATGCTTAAATGTATTTAGAATGTTGAATATACCCATCAGGATATGAAAGAATAAAAAGTATAGTTCAACTAAGAGTCTCTTTTCGATGATTTCATTTTCAAATTTATACATTTTTCTAGCGTATGAATTTAATACTATTTACCGACATACTCGGAATTCTTCGTTGCTTCTTATTGGGTTGAATTGTTCGACCACTATTGACATATGGGCTCCTATGCGGATACCTCGATATTGCCTGAATGTTAATTATGATGATTCGGTTGGTTGTGGCTAGCAGGAGAATCCAGGACAGGACGCGGGTTTCCTGCTATTTGGGACTTACCCGTCAGCTGGGTGTACCTGCACCCCAGTGATTGGTGTTGCTCCGACTGAGACTTGAACCTTATACCCATCGCATCAAACGCTAAGGCGTTATCCAGTATGCCACGGAGGAACGATAGCCACTTCTTGTACAACGGGTGATAGTTATTACTATTTATTGACATACTTGGAATTCTCCGTTGTTTTGTTAGATCGAATTGTTCCACCTCTATTGGCATATGGGCTCCTATGCGGATGCCTCGATAGTGCTTGAATGTTAGTTATGATAATTCGGCGTGCTGGATTCTTCCGCTAGCCACAACCAACAGAATTATCATAAGGATATAATAGTTAAAAACAGTTTGTCAAGCATGGCAACACAAAGAGTATCAATAAATGAGCTGTTATTAAAATCCAAAACTGGTGAATACTAATCAGTGCATTGTGATCAGGTAGAGTATAGTAACATGAAAGAGCAGCGAATTACCTCAGAAGTGAGTAGTGTCAAAACAGGAAAAGAAAGAGAAAGAGATGTGGGGTAGGGGATTTTAGAGGCTACAGACTAAGACCATGAAAGGAGAAGGGGTTGAACAATCTTCTTTTTGCGTACACATTTCAATGTTCCTCCATATAGATGGCAGGAGATTCGGAGATGCAGAGAATATGAAGACATACAGCGTTTAGGAGGTTTCTTCTCACTTTATAGATGACTTTGAATGGGGAGGTTCTTGGTATACAGTGATTCGTGTCCACGATGTGTTCAATTATACCACTCCTTATCGCTTATTGTTACCTCTTCGTAACGACACAGGATAGTACTGTTGAACCTTTTTAGATAATAGTCGTACCGAACGATCGATATACCTGGCTCCTCAAGTAGATGAATTGATATATGCACATAGAAGTGGTTTCTCCTCTGAGTTGGGCAACAAGAGAATACTAATCTCAGCCTTGATGCAAAGAATGTTCTCTTTAGAGCATTTGATATCCTCCTTTTTAGAGTGTCTACAGCAGAATCATTTTTGAAGTTTAGATTCACATAGAGTATCTTTTTTGGTACGGTGGTAAGGTTCTCTTTGTGTGGTTTACGCTTGATGGTTTTGTTTATGAAACGTAGTGGGAATCCGTTTTCAATCAGGATATTCTTTATGTGTCGACTAAAACTGTTTGTTAGAGGAAAAACTGCTGACTAGGTTATCTTGTTCTATCCTTGGTCAGTGGTTCTTGACACTCGACTTCCAACCAAGCGGGCCATGAGTTCGAACCCAGGTTCACCTACTGAGGTCTAGACAAGTGAGTAGTATATTTGTCGAATACTCATTAGGTAACTAAGTTCATTTAGGTTCGATTCTGTTCGATTTAACCTTCACAATAAGTCATCATAACTGATTGTACAAAAGGTTTGTGTTGTTACACAACTGTTCTTTGTAGTCACTAACTGAGTTGTATACAGAGAAAATTTTAGCTCCCAAAGGAGCTTTCATTCATTGTTACAATCCAAAAAAACAAATAAAAATGTGACTACTTTGTTTTTACACCATATGTCATTGTTGTTGGCATAAGATAAACAATTCGAATAAAAGAAATCGTAATGGAATATGGCTAGCATTAATATTCGCATTCAATGTTCAAGCGTATCCAGTCAACTCGAATTCCTACCAGAAGAATACGGGTAACAATTCTAGCCTTGTATTCATATATGGAATAGAACAAGATTCGGATTTTCAACACCGATGTCAGTCAAATCAGTGCTGGGATATGGTTCGGAAACTTGGCGCGTCACGAAAATCACTTCCAATAAACTACAGATATTCATCAACAGCTGCTGCCTACACTGGCTCGATACTGAAGATGAGATGACCAGAAAGAATAAGCAAGGAGGAACTCTGGGAACGAACCAACCAAGGACCTGTCATCCAATACATATGTAGAAGAAGAAAGTGGAGATGGATTGGATTGGGCATACACTGAGAATACGGTTTGGAGACATCATGCACCAGGTCAGGCCATCGAGTGCAATCGAAAGGGGAAACGACGAGTTGGGTGTCCGAGGCCGAGGGTGACATGGAGAAGATGATATGAGGAAGAAATGAAAGCTTGTGGGCAGTCGCGGTGCCAGGTTCAAAAGACTGGAGAGAACAGAGTGCAATGGAGGCGTGCTAATGAAGCCCTATATTTCACTAGGAACCCGAGGGATAAATAATAATAATAATAATAATTCATATGGAATCTTAGAGCACATACTTTATGATAAATATACACCTAATAAGATGATTAATCAATACACAGTCTATTGGTTTCTTTAGAGGATTTTACTTTACAAGACCCCAATAGAGCAATGCAGTGTAGATTTATAGATCACAAATATCACTTGCCTACTAAGCACCTGTTATCCCAAAACAAAATTATTGGTCCATTTCCATTTGGTAATCGATGGTTTCATTGTTTATCCTTCAATGAAAAATAATTATACCGATACACAGGGATCAGAAGATTTATCAAAGAAAAGTCCTGTCACCTCATATGCGCTTGTTTTTATGGTTAGTAAAATTCTCAACAATCCTGGTATAGATGTTGTATCATTCCTGTTACATGTATTGGATTAGGGTTGACTCGATGAACAAAGATTCAGCAACCAATCTCTCTCTCTCTCTCCACCCAATCATACTGGGCAATAGAGTACCGTGGTTTTATCCCATCCACTCAATTGTGTAGTTGTGTGTTAATCCATGCATTGAAATAGCCGAGTTCTCTTCTAGTTTATTCATCTTATCATTCTATGTTTGACTAAATTCCTATATTCGGCTATTCTAACTGACCCCTTACAGCCTAGTTTGACCTATGTACATGACCTGACTCACAGTCATTACATGGAATTTGATAGATTAGATTATTTCGCTAATTGATTTTTACGAATCCTTACACCAGCCGACAGAGCTTACTTCTAAATGAGTTTGTAGGTTGTAAGTCCCACCCTAATTCCACTGTTGTTGAGAATCCTACATGAAGTTTGTGATGTTTCTTCCTTATGAGGTGACAGAATGGAGGCTGTAAACTGCTTTCTACTTATGTTGTTGTTGTTGTTATTATTCGTGGTGGTTTCATTGTTATTATCTCGTTTCTTATGTGTTCATGAGAATTTGTTAATGAAGTGTAGAGAATAATTGTTAATTGTTAATGCTTCTTTTATGTGCTTCGATTCCTCATTTCGGTGGTTGTGCTGACTAATCACTTCTCTAGATGTATCATTTAGACATTTGACTAGATTAGCCTTCACTGACTGACCATGGATGAGATGATTTGAAGTCTAGATATCTGTTAGAATGTGTCAGTTTCCTGTAGATGGTAGTATCGAGACCGCCATCTGCCCTTCGTTTTATCCTGGAGTCCAACATGGGTAATTCTGCTTGTTCATTTTCTACCTCCTCGTGAGTGGATTGGATTGGATTACGCCTACTAGTTTATGTTGTTTGTGTAATGTATGAGGGAATTGTCGATATGTTCTGATTTCAACAGTAGTGAACGTGTCATCCATATATCACCAGCATATTTTAGGTGCATGACTGAACATGTGTCAATTGATGTTTTCCTGACTATCGATAAATATATGTGCTACGATTGGAGATATTTGTGATCCCATTACTACTCCTTCTGTTTGTCTAGATACTATGTCTTGAAACATGAAGATTGTGGAGGTCAGGCCTAATATGATCTTCTCAACCGATATCTTGCTTGGCTTGTGTATGAAGATTGAGTTGATTTATGACTGACTGCGTGGAGTAGTTTAGTATGAAGATCTGTCATAGTTGAAACTAACCATTTCTCCTCCTCTTCTAGTTGTAGTTCATCAAGTTTTAGTTTTCACTTGTAAAATGTCACTAGTCTCGAAATGTGAACTGTTGCCAATGGGAAATGATATCGCTGCTGAGTACTTTGCTAGTGTTTATATGTTGGGGGGTATTTGTGAAGTGATGTATGGGTGTAATGGAATAATCTGGTTTATGAAGCTTCATAGTGCCATAAATTCTGTTAGGATTATTAGTTTTATGTATTAGACCGTTTATACTCAGGTAGAGATGAATTAAGTTGGTATATCAGATTGATTGTAGGTTTCTTAATTTCATTCATGACAGTGTGCAAGGGTTTCTTGATCTCTTCATATGGTCCTATCTGATAGACACCCAGTTATGCAGAATAATCTAATCTATTAAATTCCATGTAATGACTGTGAGTCAGGTCAAGTACATAGATCAGACTATCCGGTTGTGGTCAGCTGGATTAGTGGGACATAATAATTTAGGTGAATATAGAATGACCGATTGGAATGAGATGAGTAATGTAGAAAGGAACTCGGCTATTTCAGTGGATGGATGAATACAGAAGAAAACAATGAGATGGGTGCGATGAAACCACTGTACTGAAGTTCAATACAATTAGGTGGAGACAAAGAGAGAGGGAGAGAGAGAGTGTGTGTGTGTGTGTTTACTGAATCTTTGTTCATGGAGTCAACCAACACGCAACGCGTATAACAGGGATGATGCAACACGTATATCAGAGATGTGGAAAATTTTACTACGAACAGAAAGAAAGAATGGGAGATGACAAAACCATAGAAATCAGATATGGAAAGTGGAATGTGATTCCGTTGATATGATTATGATCAATGATAATTTATGCTGGAAACGTGGTGAGTAAGTAAATAATACTTTATCACACTGTCTGGTGTATGTATCAAATAAACAAATGTAATACGGAATGTAACCTCTGCTGGTTAACTACTTCACTAGTTAGTAACCAATCGTAAGCCGAGATGAAGAGGGAAGGTTGGGCATAGGGCTAGGAACGCTACCCCTTAAGTCCAATCCAACCTCTAAAGAAACTTCAAAGCACAAAGAAAACATTAAAAAAGAAATGAAACCTGGAGGTTCTGAGTCCGATCGTTATCCAGGTCATGGGTGCCCTTTTCTGAGAAGTCCCACACTAGGAGGAAACAACTGTCCACTGCTCTAAGGTTCCCTTTGTTCTTCCAACTGATGTCAGTCTACAATGAAAAACAACTTGAAATAAATAAATTTCATTGAATATATATTGAGACAATGTTACTAAAGTGATAATCATAGGGTTCAGTTCAAGTGAGATAGGTATTTGATGGTTGGAACTAACTGGCGAGAATATAACTACTTCGTGGGAAATGTGAACTTGGATATGAGCGCAACCTAAGCATGGTACTACGTTCATCATGGATGTCGTCGATATGGTGTCAGCTATCACTAAGTGTATGTACACTTCATGGCTTACTAAGTTTATATGGATTCAGATCTGTTTACTTAAACATGTTTAAAGATCGCCCAACTTCTTCTTGGTTACCATAATTCAGTTTATCTTTTCTTTTTGTTGTTGTTGTTGTTATGCGTGTTTAGGGTTATTTGTTACGTTTGAAAGAAGATGTCAGTGTGAATTCTCAATTTTTGGATGTCCTATTTTATAAAATTCCAGATTTACGAATTTTTCACACGTAAGTTCATTTTTTTAATCTTTTTTTTATTTCTGTATCAACAGTTTTGCATTCCTTTTGACCTGTTATTAATATGAAGAATTTGAATTATGTTGGAAGAGGGTTCAGGTTGACCAGACCAGACCAAACGTGACACTGGTTGATAAAGTGTCTAACTGTTGGTCTAATCCTTATGGAAAGATTCGGAATACCTCGTTGTCTCCTGGGCTCCTCGAGATGACAGTATTATTGGAGAGATGGAAGACAGGCACGACGGAAAGAATGTCTCTTGTCAACAGTTGGAACGGTAGTCATCATTTGCAAAATGTGCTTTGTTTCCTCTTCTGTTCCTCTCTTGATTTGCTCCTCATACATTCTTATCAGCAGCATCCACTGTAATACACCTGCGTTATCCCTTGCGTTGCTCTTGGCAGAATCCTTACCCATTGCTGGCGATTCCCTATGATTCCTGCCACCCTCTCAACATATACTACTTATATCCACTCTTTTCAGCGACACCTACTACATTATTCTTTCCACTTGTTCTTTGCATGCTACTATGAAGTGATATGCTTGTGTGCAAGGTCTTGTCTGTCAAGCTTAATTCAGTCAACGTTGTTTTTCTACGTATTGATTCATTTGTTCAGTTATTTGACTTTCAATCAATCTTTCACAAGTTCGAACTCTTCCTCCATGTGGCTTGTTAACCAATTGACACGGACATGCATGTGGTTCCTGAGTTACTCGTGGTAATATTGTTGCTTTGTACGAAATTTATTCTAATAGTATAAATTGTTACACCAGTTATTAATGTGGATTCGTTGACTGAATCACTCAACTTTCATCTTATGGGGTTGATCTGTGGTTCAAATATCTCATCGTCTGTATAAGTCAGGTGAACCGAGGCGATATCATCATAGACCCTGACATGTTGTCTGTTTCATAGCTCTTTTGATACACCAACTGTCTCTGTGAAAGCACTAACGTTATAGACCAAACCAAACTTCAGCGTGAACAAATTTGTTTTCAGCGATATCATCCTCTACAGCTATACAATCAATCCAGAACATTTTTATTCCCGACACTTTAGAAGATGAAATTCAACTTCTGAGATCGACGTTCATTGCAAGTGGATAGAGAAAGGGAGAGAATCATAGATACAAATCCACGTTAGAATGCTATCATACTATGGAGAAGAAAAAGTTGATTTTAAGCTTGGAATTCAATGAGGATGCAGTAGATGATGTGTGAAACACAGAATAATGAACATTCTATGCATCTACCCTGTAGACTACCTATACGTGTTCGAAGGAGAAAATGTCACTGCCAGCCACTTCAGTGTTCATATATCAGTTCAGCCTGCTCCTATAGAGTAAGGTACATAAGCCGTACTTAGCGGCAGATTGTTCAACGTAGAGGTCAATATCTTCCATCATGGCTCAATGCAGGCCAATTCAAATCATTTAACAGCTCCATATTATCTCTGGTTTAACATGGGACACATAGTCTACAAAGTACAACACTAATCTTCCAAAATAGTGTAGGGGAATATAAATGTATATATCACATCGTTTTTGGTCTTCGGTTTTTCGACTCCGATACACTTTTCCATACATCCATCATGTTCTCTCTCCATTAATTAGTCGGGTCCGGAATCAACTAAAAAGTTGTTGAATGTTGGTCAGCTGATGCTCCATATCCATGCATCGTTACTGACCATAGCACATAGCAATTTTCGAAACCATAACAATTTCTTAAGTGTTTATAAGAAGAAGGTGGTTGTGTTTCCAACTATTTTTTCATGTTCATAGGGTTGTGTTAATTATCTCTCTCCACAGGTGGCTAGATATTAATTTATGCGTTGGATTGCTGTTTTATTTTAGCATGGCACCTAAAAAACCCCTCAAGGGGTCGAACCTAGGGTCTTCTGATCTTGCGGCGAACGCATTAACCATTTAGCCACTGGTTTGGAGCTAAGCTGTTCACCGTTTCCTACTTGTGTCAATTCACCATATAACGTGACTATCCACCAAAGTCTTCAGTTGACATCCGCTTATCTTCCAACTAGTTGACTTTACAGGTCACAACTCATTAGAACTTCAGGATATCAGTTTGGCCAGCATGTCACCAATGTGCATTATACAGTAATGTATATTAGAGTTAATGGAGATTTTAATTCTGAGATAGAATTCATCATGGACTGACATCAATTGGAGAACCATTGAAAACTTGAGGGAACTGGACAGCTGTTTCATCTTAATGTGGGACTTTTCAGCGATAGGCACCCACGACGCGTCTGCGCACTGAACTCACGACCGTCACGTTTCACGGCGAATGCGTTAATCATTCAAACAATGGGTAGGATTGAGCTCAATGCTTCACATTTTCCTAGTTCTGTCAATTTGCGATTTAACGCGATTATTCAGCAAAGTTTTCGGTTGACATCCGCTTCCTTTTCGGCTGGTTGACTTTACAGGTCACAGTTTCGGGATATTCATCTAGAAGGATGTCAGTAATGAGCAGTAATCTTCCCTAACAGATTTTCGCCCATGATGAATACTACCATTGAACACCAGTCATTCAGTTATGATATTATTTGATTGGTGGTAGTTAGTAGTGGAATACAGGACATGCGTTTCGTCCTATTTTGGACTCGTCGGCTGGACGTACCTGCATCTTAGAGAGTGATTGCACCCCACCCACCCCTCGTGAGACTCGAACTCAACATTCATCGTCTCAAACGCTAAAGTAAATTATGTTACCTATTCTCTTTAGATTTTGTCTCTGCTTGCATATATATATATATATATATATATCATATATGCCTGTTTGATGTTTATCTATCTTTGTAGAAAATTGTATTCTGATCTTCATGTGAATCGTGAGAATTTAATACGTTTTGGTCAGGTATTCCTCGACAATACAAAACATTTTGAAGAACTCTATGTTGAATTCTGTTTAAATTATCCAAAGTAAGTTTAATGTTCATTTTGTTGTTTTTACTGTGATAATAATAATAATAATAATAATAATAATAATAATAATAATAATAATAATAATAATGCGGGAAGCTACAAGAAGGAGACGTAGAAAGGGATACTTACCATTGATATCTTGTGCAGTAGTCGTTAAATATAGTACGCCTTCCAATAAGACATTTATTTGTATGATGGGCTTCATTTCTTCCTCGACTTCCGTCTTGATTTACTCTTCATACTCTTCCCTTGTCCCTTGCGTCGCTCTTGGCAGAATCCTTACCCATTGCTGGTAATTCTCTATGATTTCTGCCACCCTCTCAAGATATACTACTTATGAGTAGTATTCACCATGGACTGATGTCATTTGGGGAACCATTGATAAACTGGGAGCACTGGACAGCTGTTTCGTCCTAGTATGGGACTCCTCAGCAGTACTACCAAATTAGAAAATCCTCATTCATCTCGAAAATACATTACCGTATAGTGCTCATTAGTGACTTGCTTCTAGATGGATATCACGAAGCTTTAATGAGAAGCTGTGACTTGTGGGGTCAACCAGTCGGAAGGGAAGCGGATGCTAACTGAAGATTTTGGGTGATAGTCGCACTATGTCGTGAATTGACAGAAGTTAGAAATTGTGAACCACTGGAAACCGACCCACTAACTGAATGGTTAACACTTTCGACCAACTACTTGAAAGAGCTTTTGTTCAGGTGCACATTTAATGTCCCATTTGGTTTCAATAATGAAATGTATAGACAGAAAGATGGAATTGTAATGATGTCACCATTGGGATCATTGTTGGGAGACAGATTTGTTATTTGTGACAAAGATGTTGATTTAGACGGTGTTCTTCGTTCATTCAATGAATGTCATCAAGCCCTCGAGTTTACCATCGAGAATGAATTAGAATTAACTAATCTTTTCCTTGATGTACTTCTCACTAGACGTAAGAATGAATACAGAAAAGCAATGTGGAACGGACAGCCAACTAACTTTTATAGTCGGTTGCCTGTCGAATAAGAAACATCTGTATTAAAGATTGTATTGATGAAGACCTATCCTTGTCGAAAACGGTTACCCGTGTCGTTTTATGTATACAAATATGCTAGAAAGAAATACTTAACTATTCACCCACTCATGAGCATAGAATTTAAAGGTGACCTAGCATGAGGTATGCTAAAGAATACAAATCAATGGATAGAACTTTCTTCTTAACAACAAGACTTCAATTGACTTTTACCAGGCATAAACTATTCTCCGTCTGTGTTAAAGACACGCTTCCTCGTTCAGCCGCCTCTATATGGATCTACTAGTTCACCTACTCTTATGAAGCGAAGGTATATCGGCCGTAGCCAAAGAATGTTTTCCATACGAGAACATATTCTAGCTTGGTTTCATAGAGGTGAAGAACATTTGATTGATTTCCATCAGTCAATAAACCCAGACAATAACTTTAAATATTATTATTTATCAAATTCATCCATAACTTCAACGTTCTCTTCGTTTTCAACTCCTTAAAACAGTGGGGGCTTTAGCTATTCATCAAATAAAACCTAATCTGTGTCTACATAAGAAAGTATGTACAATAGTCACTGGTTTTACCATGGTCATAACATTTTCCCACTTTCATTAGTTCCCCCTCCCCTTTTTTTAAATTAACCTTTGTATTCTTCCTTTATCGGGTGTTATTTCACTTAATTGTTTTAATCTTTTCAGAAGATATTGATTTCTTCCTGACCAATTTGTCTAACCCTATTACGTAATACTTAACTGGTTTAATTGGATTTTGAGGGAGTTGTGGGGATTTGGAAATATTTCAAGTTGTTATTCATTGTAGACTGACATCAGTTGGAGGAACAAAGAAAACCTGAGAGCACTGGACGCCTGTTTCGTCCGACTAGTGTGGGGCTCCTTAGCAGTACGCAACCACAACCCGCCAGGGTTCGAACCCGTGGCCAGCACGTTGCCATTGAGCCATTGGTTCGGAACCCAATGGTCCATATTTCCAACTTCTGTTAGCTCACAATATAGCGCAACCGCCACCCATTGAACCACTGGATTCTGACCCAGTGGCTCAATGGCAACGTGCTGGCTATGGAACCTGATGGTTGTGGGTTCGATCCTTGGTGATGTGGGGTGATGGGTGTGCACTGCTGAGGAGTCCTATACTCGGACGAAACAGCTGTTCTGTGCTCCCAGGTTTCCTTTGTTCCTCCAACTGATGTCAGTCTACGATGAATAAAAATTTGACAGTGGGAATTATTGAATTATTGCTTGGAATAAAGCGGTTATTATTATTATTATTATTTAAGGCACTAATGTTGAATAGTTAGCTTGTGTTGGATTGATTAGCTTCCAATCTAGAATGAAGAATGTACAGAAAAACTGAGCGTAATTTTAGTAATATAACGGTCCACTCAACAAATACAAAAATTTACCATTCGAGCTAAGCATTGGATGAGTAGAAATATGAGATACGTTTTATGAACAATATGAAGACCATTTTTATTTGAACTTGTCTGGGTGAAGATATTTTTAAAACTGTACTAGAGTATATAACAAGTTTATAAGATATATTAAGGTTTTAGTGTTATTGCTTGTATTACACCGTCGTTGATAGGAAGCAGGTACAGCCTCCAGCTGACGAGTCCCAAATAGGAGGAAATGCGCATCCTGGATTCCACTGCTAGCCACTGCCCATCATTACTAAATATATTAAGGTTGTTGATTTGATATAGGCAGCGCACAGTGACTGTTACAGTATTATCTACTTGATGACTACAGTTCCAGCATAAATCACTTATTGCTCATAATCAATACCTCAATGTAATCACACTTCACTTCCGATATCTGATTTTAACTAGTTCGGTCAACTCATATGAGTTTTCTTGATAGGTGATGATGACTATTTGAGCGTAAAGCAGTGCTCATAATCATATTAATGTAATCAAACTTCATACTGAAGTTAGCGCTGATGATGTCGTCTAGAAAGACGATGAAAACTTCACGATTAAACAACCCAGCTCAGAGAACATAATACAACCAGGATAACCACACTACCTTCGACATCTGATTTTTATAGTCCTGCCACCTTTAATTCTTTTTTCCTATTGCTAGTAACATTTCCGACATGTCTAATAGCTGCTACCTTGACGTGATGGTCGGGCTTGTATATCACAATGACCCAACGAGCAGCTATGCTGGTGGAACACTTGTTCCATCGAGGTCGTACCATACCAGAAAGGTCTGTTGGATAGTGGTTAGATGAAAAGCAGTTACCGCCGTGCTGTAAATTACTACACTATCATGTTTCCTCTCTCTCCCTTTGAGTAATTTATGTTTCCTTTGACTGACTTTTCTTTTTCGTCATCTTCCACTTCACTACCTTTCTACTTGATGTACTGATATGAGGTGTGGCAAGTGGGACCGTTACGCACTAATGCCTGGTCCTATGTTGATATTGATGATAATGCTGACGATATAGGTGTTACAATATTCCTATTACATCTATTGGGTGGGTATAGATCCGATTGACAAAGATTCAGTAACTAATCTCTCTCTGTCTCCAACTAGTTATATTGCACTTGAGTACAGTGGTTTCATCCCATCCACTCAATTGTGTGGTTGTGTGTTAATCCATCCATTGCAATGGCCAAGTTCTCATCTACTTTATTCATCTTATCCAGGTATGTCATTCTACGTTTAGATAAATTCCTATGTTCGATTATTCTATCTGACCCCAACCGGCTAGTTTGACCTATGTACATGACCTGACTCACAGTCATTATATGGAATTTGATAGATTAGATTATTTCGCTAATTGATTTTTACGAATCCTTACACCAGCCGACAGAGCTTACTTCTAAATGAGTTTGTAGGTTGTAAATCCCACCCTAATTCCACTGTTGTTGAGACTCCTACATGAAGTTTGTGATGTTCCTTCCTTATGAGGTGACAGAATGGAGTCTGTGAACTGCTTTCTACTTGTGTTGTTGTTGTTATTATTCTTGGTGGTTTCATTGTTATTATCTCGTTTCTTATGTGTTCTCATGAGAATTTGTTAATGAAGTGTAGAGGATAATTGTTAATTGTTAATGCTTCTTTTATGTGCTTCGATTCCTCATTTCGGTGGTTGTGCTGACTAATCACTTTTCTAGCTGCATCATTTAGAGATAAGCTTTATCGGCTAGCTGGTTGGTTGATTGGTTGACTGGCTGGCTGGCTGGCTGGCTGGCTGGCTGGCTGGCTTAGGGATCGGATAGAACTAATAAAGCGAAATAATCTAATCTATCAAATTCCATGTAATGACTATTAGTCAGGTCAGGTACATTGGTGAAACTAGCTGGTCAGGATCAGTAAGAATAATCGAACATGAGAATTTTGTTAAATATAGGACGACAGTAGTCAGTAGTCTAGAAAACTACTCCGCTATTGCAATGGATGCATTAACACACAATTTAACAATAGAGTGGGGTAAAATCACTGTAATTAAGTGTAATATAGTTAGGGGCAAGAGAGCGATTGATTACTGAGTCTTTGTTCATCAAACTGCGATTAATCCGTCACCTTTTTTCCTTCACTAAGACCATAAATTTCAAGTATCGAAAATAGCTTGATTCCGTTGATATGATTATGAGGAATCGTGGCTAGACCAAATCAGACATGGCACAGGTCGATGAAGTCCTTGACCTGGCTGTTGGTCTGGCGAGTGTGCGATCCCTGAGACAACAGGACTCAGTGGTTGACAAGTATTCAGTAAATCAGTTACAATGGCACTGACATTTTAGTCTACTTTATCCAAAAGTGGTTCAAACAGCGGACAGGTGTTTCGGTCGTTTAGCATCGAATTCATCAGTGGTGTATTCAGAAAAAATTCAGCTCTTTACAGTTGAATTGTTCAGATCAGATTGGTAGTCTAAAAAGGTTTTCTAGCCAGTCATTTTGTTCCTTAATATATCGCGTTAGTTCGTGACACTTTTGTAACGCAGATC